AAAAACATGATGATCTCTCTACAGCCTGAACTGAATCATCCACATCTTCCAAGTAAAATAAACATTCATTTGGGCATTCAATACTCTCTTGAGATTCTTTAATTCAATGATTTGGAGGCGATGCACTCTATTTCTCTGGTTTTAATAGTTATCCTTGAGATTTTACCCTGCAAAATTATCAAAAACTACAGGTAACATCTTAATCTTTGCTCCTAAATAACGCAAGGACCTTAGAACACTTTTAAACAACAAGGCATTCCTTCCCAACTTACCTACTATAGTGGCCCAATATTTTAGCCCTGTCCCATTTTGTTACCCACCAAATTAAAAGTGTTAGTGTTTACAGAAACAGTTTCATTTTAAATTTAGCTATGTATTTACGAATTCTTTGTTTACCGTCCCTTCTTGTGTTGGAATCATTTCGCTCTTCCTGATGTACATCTTTTAGAAGTTCATTTAGTGTAGTTGTGCTGGTGATAAACTCAGTTTTTGTTTATCTGAAAATACATTCCTTCATACTCATTATTTTAAAACTAAATTTTAAATTGATGTACGCATACAAGCTCTATAAACATTCTTGTATGAGTCTTTTTGTGGACAAATGTGGATATATATCTTGGGTGAATACCTAGGAGTTGAATCTTAGAGTAGGTGTTTGTCTAAAATTAAAACTGCCAAAAGTTTTCCAAAAATGACTGTACCACTTTATCCCACCAGCAATGTATGAGAATTCCAGGTGCTCCAAATTCTGGCCAACAATAACTGCTGTTAATACTTTAAATTTTGGCCATTCTAGTGGGTTTGTAGTAATAGAACATTGTGGTTTAATTTCCATTTCCTTGATGACTCAGCAACTTTTTACATACTTACTGGCCATTCCAATATCTTTTGCTTTGTGAAGCATCCAACTATTTTGTCCATTTTAATGTTTTCCTTTGTTTTTGATTGTTGATTTGTAGTTCTTTATGTATTCTCAATATTAATTCTATGTTAAATATATTATGCAAATACTTTCTCCCAGTCTGTGGCTTGCCTTTTCATGTTCTTAATGATATCATTTGATGAGCAGGTGTTTTCTAATTTTGAAGTCCAATTTATCAAGTTTTTCTTTTATGATTAGTACTTTTTGTGTCTTCAGAAACATTTGATTATCCCAACATCATGAAGATATCCTCGTTCTCTTCTAGAAGCTCTATTGTTTTAGCTTTTGTGTTTATATCTATGATCCATCTAAATACATTTTTATGTTTGGTGACAGGTAGGGGTAGAGATTTACTTTTCCCATATAGTTATCCAGTTGTTCCTGCAACATTGTGAGAAAAAGTTCCTTTCCCCTTGAATTGCCATGGAACATTTCTCAAAAATCAATTGACAACATATTTCAGGGGCTATTTTTTACTTTGTTTTGTTCCATTGATCCAAACCTCTATTCTTAATCCAATAACACACTGTCTTGATTACCATAGTTTTCTGTAGTTCTCAAAATCAGGTAGTATTTGTCTCCTATGTTTATTCATATTTTTCAAGATTATTTTAGGTATTCAGGTTCTCTTTGAATTCCATGAAAAATATTACAAGCAGCTGATCAATTTTTATGAAAAAAAGCCCTCTGAGAACACTGATTGGGACTACATTGAATCTATAGTTAAATTTGGAGAAAACAGACATATAGACATCTTAAGAATATCAGCATTTCCAAATAATGAACAGCCCCTACTGTCTTCTACCACCACCCCTATTTTAAGTCCTCAAGCCTCACCACTGTCTCCAGTCCTCAGCTCCACTACCTCCTAGTCCTGCTATCCTACCCAACTTCTTCGCTCCTCCAACATTACCTATCTCCCCAGCCCTCCAACCCCTCGTCCCCAGTCCTCTATTCCCCAGCCTATCAACAGTTCTGCAGCCCTTCCTGCTTTCCCTTCTCCTCCAGCCAGACCCCTCTCTCCAGTATCCCATCCTTGCTCCTCTCTATAACCTTCCAGTCTCCCCCTGTCCCCAGTCCTCTAGTCCAGCCCCTCTCTCCAATTCACCTCCCTCCCTCTCCAGAGTTCTGCAGCCTGGCCCGGTGTCCTCCCTACTCCAGCCATGTTCACCTCCCTGAGCAGGTTCCTGAGTGTGTTCAGAGTGGAGAGTGTGCCCCTCTTCCAATTTTCCTACCTCGCCCCCTTTCCTCTATCCTCCTGTACTGCTCCGTGTCCCAGATTTCGTGCCCTGCTCATTGTCCTCTGACCTCACCTCCTCTTTTAATTGTGTCACTCTTCTTTCCTTCTCTGGTCTTCAATCCTTTTGTCTGGCCCTTGCTCCATCGTCATCCTGCTCTGCTCCACCATCTGTCCAGTATCCTTTTCCTGCTCCCTCCTCCCCCTCCCCCAGCTCTCTGGTAGGCCTGCTTGCTTCCTAATGCTTTCCTCACGGAGTAGTTTTATTTTGAAATGTATTAGTGTTTGTGAGGATGAACATGTTTTCACATGTTTAAAGGAAATTCTTACATCTTTTTATTTGTTAATTGTCTTTTTTTTTTTTAATTTTTTTTTTCTTGTGATGAGGACTTTTTTTTTTTTTTTTAAAGATTTTATTTTTTCCTTTTTCTCCCCAAAGCCCCCCGGTACATAGTTGTGTATTCTTCGTTGTGGGTTCCTCTAGTTGTGGCATGTGGGACGCCGCCTCAGCGTGGTCTGATGAGCAGTGCCATGTCCGCGCCCAGGATTCGAACTAACGAAACACTGGGCCGCCTGCAGCGGAGCGCGCGAACTTAACCACTCGGCCACGGGGCCAGCCCCTTGTTAATTGTCTTTTGACCATTTTTCAGGATGACGTTTAGTCTATTTCTTTGATACAGTTTCGCTAATATTTTTTACCAGTTTCTTAACAGTTTGAATTTGCTCTGGTGTCATTTTTGTAAGTGTTATGTTGTTGTTTTTTATAAACAGGCAAATGTATCAGCCTTTTCTTTTATTGTCCCTAGATAAGTCATAGAATGTCTTTCCTTATACCAAAGTTAAAGGGGGAATTATCCCATATTTTCTTCTGGAAAAGAATTTATTTTTTTACACATTTATTTTTTTATTTTACATTTATTTTCCTAATCCATTTGGAATTTATTCTTGTATATAGTTTGTGATATTAATCTAATTTTATCTTTTCCCAAATGGCTACCCAGCTGTCACAACACTGTTTATTAAAAAGTATATCTTTGCCTCAGTGATTTGAGATGCCACCCTCATCATTTATTAAATTTCCCTGTGTACTTGTCTGTTTCTGGACATTTTACTTTATTTCACAAGTCTGTTTTTTTTTTTTTTTTTTTTTTCCATGCAATAAGGAACACCGGACTTAGAACTGAATTATTTGGGTTCTTTCTATTTTACCCCAAGACATTCTGTGGGATTTTAGGCACCTTCTGTTCTCTTTCTAGGCCTCAGTTTTATCATCTGTAACATGAGAGGCTCCAACTAGATTGTTGCTATTTCTATGACTGTCTGTACTAATTAGCACTAATCTAGATTGCCTTATACTATTAGGAGCTGGAGAGTGCCTGCTGCAGCCTGCCTTCCTGGAACTTGAAGCATGGAGTTCTGGCTTCCCAGGCCTGGCCTCTTCTTTGACTCAGTACTGGGGTGACTTTGGGCTCTTGGTTCCCTAGTGCTGGGTCTTTTTGCATATAGCTTCGTTTCTTTGGCCTTGAGAGGCTTTTCTTTGACCTCTTTCTGATTCTGTTGGCACTCTACCATGACAAGGTCATTTTATGTATGTACTCATAATGACCAGACAGTAAGGATGTTGGGATGTTGGGTGGAACAAGATAATGAAAATAAAATCATTCAGTTGCCCTATTGTGTAGCAGGTACTTTTTAGGCATTGTACGTATATAATCTTATTTAATCTTTACAACAGCCTTATTGGTATATATTGTTATCACTTTAAAATATGACTTAGGTAGTGTCTTCACCTGTGTATCCTTCCTACGTGATGTGTCTATTATAATATTTATCCTATTATCTTACAAATGGTTCATTTTTAAGGCCCTTTACTTGTCTGTAAACTAAGAGTGATAGCAGTCCCTCTCACACTGGGCTGTGGAGACTAAATAACATGACTTAGTGACTGGCACACAGTTGGTTTTTAATAAATGTTAATCATTATGTGTGTCCCCACTAGGTAAGGGAACTGACGTTTATCCTTCATTCATAAAGGGCCTGGCTCATGGTAGGCTTTGTGGGTGTGGATGAAGCACTGCTTCATTGGGAATCACTCCAGTGCATGCAAAGGTAGGAACAAACACGGTTGTTAGATGTCAGAAAAGACGCCAAAGAATAATTAATTGTGTCTGTATAACACACTTGCCCTCAAAGAGTTGTAGTTGTGGGCAATGCTGGGGAAGTCCTTGGGCATAGAAACCTCAGAAGAGTCCTTAGGATTTTGTTATGTAGACTGAAGCTTTCAAAATGTTTGAGTGGAGTGGCGAGATTCTAATCAAAGGTGGCTTTCGGGAAAGGTTGGTACAATGGGAGTGATATTTATTAGAATCAGGCCAGTGACTCCAGAAGCAGACACAAAACAAGTCCCCTTCAGGGGCCAGGAAGCTCGCTGGGATGCTGGGACCAGAGAGGCACCGAGGCCAAAGCCCCATGGTGGCGTCTAGGTCCCAGGTTCGCTTGTATTCGAAAGGAGATCGGGTCACTTCGAAGGCCCTTCTGAAGAGTGCTCCCTGTTCTATGGTGAGAGTGGGGTCCGACTCGGTCCTGGATTCCCAGGGTCTCCAGCCCTGCCCACCCACAACATCCACGAGACGCTTTTTCGCAGGACTCTGTATTGTCCTTTCCGCAGAGCCAGCTTCTCCCCCGCGGCTCTTCCAGCCTTGTCACTCACCTGCACGCAACCAATCAGCACCCAAAGGCTGGGGGACTCTGGTCAGGGAGAAGGGGCCGGGTACTTCCTGCGCGCCAATGAACGCGCAGACTCACAAGGGAGGGGCGGGCTTGCAGGTGCAAGCGAGCCAATCACGGGCCCCCGGCGGCTGGCGGTTGGAGAAGCAGTTAGTCGCGCGCTTGCTTCCCCAAGATGGCGGCGGCTAAGGACAGTTGTGGTTTAGGTGAAGTGGCAGCAGGGAACGGACGGCGGCTCCACCTAGGGATTCCTGAAGCCGTGTTTGTGGTAAGGGCGCGCTGGTCCTCGGCATCTTGATGCTAGGCCGCGGGCCACCCCTTCCTTCACGGCCCTTACTCTGGCCTCGACTGTTGGGAAAATGAGTTGAACTAAAGGACCTGGCAGGGAGTGCTCCGTCCTCTATCTCCCTCCGCGCCTCAACGGACTGAGCTGTACTGGGAACTGCCGGGGGGGAAACGTGGTCCGAGAAGGCTCGAGAAGAGAAGGGGGCGCCGGGCGGGAGGACTGGGGAGTCGGAGCGGAGTGGGGGGCGGGGTGGTCTGAGGGACCGCCCCGGCCACCGGGGTTCGTCCCCTGCTGCCTGGAAAAGGGGAAGCGGTGAGAAACTCGAGACTCAGCCTAAGTGCTGGAGAGACCGACAGATAAATGGTGACTTAGGATACAATGAGTAGGCAGAATGGCTCCTGCTAAGGTTTGAAAATAGGAAAAGACAGTCTGTTGAAGGAGAGCAGCGGTTTGTTGCCTTAGAGGAATGGAATAAGAGGCTGATGGGAAAGTGGGATAGGGTGAGAATGTGAAGTCCTTGTGTGTTCTGCTAAGGAATTGAGGCTTTATCCAATAGGCAACGGGCTGTCGTTAGAAGGTGTCTAAATAAAGCCGTGATATAATGTTTCGTCTAATTCAGGAGAATAAGTGGTTTTAGGTACATCATTCTAACAACTTAGTAGAAAATGAGTCGTGTGGAGTTGAGACAGGAGGCAGGGAATGCAATTTGGAGGCTTCATAGAACAGGTAGACCAACCCAAGTCCAAACAAAGAGAAGCAAGGAGATGCTTTCAATCCTGTCTTTGCTCTAGGCTAATCTAGAAAAAGTATTTGAGAACTATTTGAATAATGACAGAAAACCTCACTGGCCTTCCAGGCCGGTATCATCTGTCTTTCCCGAATCAATTCTTAATGGAATTTTCTCGGCCTTTTGGTTTGTACCTCTGTTGCCTTATCTCTGTCTTTTTGTTAATCATGTCTTACATCCTTCAAAAGACCCATTTGTTTTATTGATTACTTAGAATGTATTTTATTTAGAGTGTATTCTTTTATATACACTCTATATTGCATATTTGCATTTGGTGATTCAATTTTGTAGTTATTTTCTTTAGTCATTTTGCGTTTTCTCCCCAAGCTGTGCCATTTGTTTCTTTATGTTCATCTGCGAACTAATTGTATCAACAGATAATTTTTGTTGAGTGCCAGGGACTTTGCTCATGCTTTAACAAAACTCTAGGAGGTAGATACTGTTATCGTTCCCGTTTTGTAGATGATGAAACTGAGGCACAGAGCCCTTTAGTAACTTGTCCCGTGTCACACAGGGTGTGAGTGAGTTATCCAGGATTTGAACTTGGGCAATCTGTGGGGCTCCAGAGCCTCTACTTACACATCCTGCTCTGCCACTGGGAGGAAAGTGAGGTAGTTATCTTGCTCATTATCATTTCTCCTGGTCCTTGCACAGTCCTGACACATAGGATAAGCTCCTAACTGGATGTCGAATTGAATTTCCATAGTGCCTTAAATACTACATTCAGGGTGCTCAGCTACAGATGACTCCAAAAGTAATTCAGGAGGATAAACTTTGAGGGCTTTATAAAGTTTTATCTTAAAATGTTATGGGTTATTTTTTTCTAGACCTTAAAATTTTTGCCAATATGATGTAGTAAGCAATCCAAATTTTACGTAATTATTTTTATGTTCCCAAACTAATGGGAATTGCATGGTATTGTAGAAAGAACATTGGCATCTAAATAGACCAGGATTTGAATTCTGCCTCTACTTCCCAGTTGCTGCTTAGTCTTGAGCATATTATTTTATCACTTTGAGCCTCAGTTTCTTTAATTGGAATAGGAATAACAATACTTACAGAGTTGCTATGGGAGATGGAGAATGTGCTTTCAGTATTGCAAGTAGACGCTTAATATATGTTAGTTTCTGTGATGATAGGAGGCAGTATACCATACTGGTTACAAGTTAGACCTCACCCTTGCCCCTTTCCCCATTCCCACTGGTGCAGTAATTTGCTTTTCTCCCCCTTGTCCATTTACTGACCTCTTCATCTCTAGAATTTCATATCTAGTTCAGATATGATCTCCCTGTAGTTTTTCCTGACCACTACCCCAAGATGGTTTTCTTGGTACTTTCATCTATTCGCTTAGCACATTGTGTTATAGATATAGCTATGTTTGTTGAGCACTTCCTAGCTGTCACGTACTCTTCTAAGCATTTTACACATGCTAACTCATTTAATCCCCTGTGGGGAAAAGGTACTTTTTTTTCATTTTAGAGATAAGGAAATTGAGGAAAAGAGAGAGGTTAAATAACTTACCCAAGGTCAACACGTCTATTATGTGATGAAGCCAGAATTCAAACCAGGCAGCCTCTGTCTCTTAACCGAAATCCTATTCTGCTATAGTTAATTCTCCTTGTTAGACCCTAAGCTCCTCATAACAGGTACCATGTGCTGGAAACTTTGACTTATTTCTCTTTCCTGCAGTGGCCCTTCTAGGAAGACAGTATCTCCAGTTTACATACAGAGCTCAGCCGTTGCCTCAGCCTCACCTTTTCAGTTACTTTTACTGTCTCTAGCTTGATGGCTTCATAGTTGACTCCGTTGTTGTGTTTCTCTTTTTCTCCTTGCCTTGTTTCAGCTAAAATATTCCCTCGTAGCTAGTAAGCATGGATAAAATTAATGGTGTAGAGATCCCAGAAACTGTAAGATAATTGAATTTAACTTACTTGCAGTGAAAAACTAAAGTTCTTTAAAGTACTAGAAGGCTGTTATAGAATCTCCTTAAAGTTTCCATGTATTTTCATCTTGTTTTTGGTTCTTATCTAATTAACTAGCTTTTCTTCAAGGATCAGCATATAGTATACATTTAAAAAATGCTTTTCAGTTTTACTGCTTTTCTCTTGCTTAATTATTCCTGTTACAAACTATTGTTCTGTTTGCCTTTTAAGTTTACTTTATTTCAACCACTTGATACTTGAGGAGGCACTTGTGGCTTGCCTTGGGAACCTAATGACCATATTTAGCATGATTTCTATGGCAGAACTTGTTGAGTTAATAATTTAAGTAATAAAATCGATAATTTTAGCCCCCAACCTGTTGAAGCGTTTTGTGGCTAGGGCACATGACTGGGCAATGTGTTTGATTCTTGGTAATTTTCATATTTACTACTAGGGCTGCATGGAGGATGCATAAAGCAGGCAAGGTCATCTTTCTTTCCCAATATACATAAAAATAAGAAAAGGAAGGTAGAGGAATAATAAATTAGCTATATAATGTATGTGCACTGTCTAAAATGGTCTCTAACTTTTTATAACTACTTTTTTAGTTAAAAACCATCCTGTGGAGAAAATGAAACACAAACCTTTTTATGTTTTAAAGATAAAGCTAAAGCAGTCAAATATCATATTAGAAGTATGAATTCTAAAATTTGTAATGTGTTATTTTTTATATTAAAGGAGGATGTAGATTCCTTTATGAAACAGCCTGGGAATGAGACTGCAGATACAGTGCTAAAGAAACTAGATGAACAATACCAGAAGTATAAGTTTATGGAACTCAACCTTGCTCAAAAGAAAAGGAGGTAAGTGTAAAAACTTCCAAGATTTAAAAAAATTTTTTTTTTGAGGGAGATTAGCTCTGAGCTAACTACTAGCAATCCTCCTCTTTTTGCTGAGGAAGACTGGCCCTGAGCTAACATCCATGCCCATCTTTCTCTACTTTATACGTGGGACGCCTACCATAGCATGGCTTTTGCCAAGTGGTGCCATGTCCACGCCCAGGATCTGAACCGGTGAACCCCGGGCCGCTGAGAAGCAGAACATGTGAACTTAACCGCTGTGCCACTGGACTGGCCGATTTTTTTAATTAATCTTGTATGGCTTACACTTTTAAAAAAAATCGAGACATAATTTACATACACTAAAATGTCCCAATGTTGAATGTTCAGTTTGGTGAATTTTGACAAATATATCCACTTTTGTAATCATTGCTGAGATCAGTATGATAGAACAATTTCTATTGCCCCAGGAAGTTCTTTTCCCTCCTTTCTAGCCAACCCTGCTCACTGCCAGAGACAGCCACTGTTCTGATTATTTTCACCATAAATTAGTTTTGTCTGTTCTTGAATTTCATATAAATGGAAGCACATAGTAACTAGTATTTTAGGTTACCCTTCTTACACTTAGTATAATGCTTTTGAGAGTCATTGATGGTGTTGTGTGTTTATCAGTAAATTAGTTTCTTTTTGTTGCTGAGTCATGTTCCATTGTACGTGGACGTACCTCAATTTTTATCGATTTGCCTGTTGATGGACATTTGGGTTGTTTCCCCATTTGGTTTTGAGTCTGTGTGTGGGCATATGTTTTCATTTTTCCTGGGTAATTACCTAGGGGTGGAATTGCTGACTTGTATGGTAAGTGTATGTTCAATTTTATGGAAAACTGCCAGAAGTCCCCCAAGGTCACTATACCATATTATACTCCCACTGGCAATGTATGAAAGTTCCGGTTGTTCCACATCCTCGCCAGCACTTGGTATTGTGAGTCTAAAGATGGTTTTGAAAGCATAATAGAATGAATATTGACCTTATTCCAAAGCTTTTAGGTTCATAACATATTAGATGTCTAATTCATTCTTCTCATTTTGCCAATGATATGAGAGACCCACAGAGTTTATGATTTTTCCAAGATTTCATAGCTAATAGGCATAGGACAAAGGTATTCTTGCTCTCAATCCTTTTATTTCCCTGTATTTTTACAGTAGCTTATAAAGTCAATTCATTGTAATAAATATTTCTGGATGTCTGCTATGCACATGTGCCAGCATTCTTCTGTCAGTTGAACATGAAATTCCTAGTAGGTGCCAGATGCTATTTTGGGTGAAATAAGGTGCAGTATCATCTGTTTTCAACAAGGACACTTTCTAGGGGCATGATGGGTATATAAATAAAATAAGTACACAAAGTACGCAAAGCAGTCAGGGTGCTTTGGTACAAAGTAATGAGTTAGCAAGGGGAAGGCATGATCTGGAGGGGGCAGGGAGGTTCAGGGGAACCTTCTAAGAGGACCAGATGGTTGTGTAGAATTTCGAAGGCTGGTTATGAATTTGGAGGCAGAAGAGATGGAGAAGACTGGATGGAGCAGTTTTGGGGGAATATCAGGAGTTCAATCTGTACCCATTTGAGGTGGACATCCACGTGGAGATGTTAAGTAGGCAGTTAAATATATGAGTCTGAATTTTGGGAGTGATTTGGGCTGGAAATAAAAACTGGGGGTCATTTAAACCAGAGAAGTGAATGAGCTTCATCACCAAGGGAGGGCATGTAGGTGAAGAGAAGATCAAAGATCTGGGCACTGCAACAGTAAGAAGTTAGGGAGAAGAGAGATAACCAGCAAAAAAGACTGAAGAGAGGCTGCCAGTGAGGTCAGGAAAACCAGGAGATTGTGGGCTTCTGGAAGCCAAGCTAAGGAAATATATCACAAAGGAGGGAATGATCGCTTGTGTCAAATACTACTGATGGCTCCAGTAAGATAAAGACTGAGAATGGATTTGAAATTAGCAAAGTGGAAGTCATTGATGTTCTGGATGGAAACACTATTGGTCCAGTGGTTTAAAAGAGAATGATGGAATGATGGAGACAGTGAATATGGAAAACTTTTTTGAAGAATTTTCCCATTTTAGTAGTGGGTTGGTTGTCTTTTTTTATTTGTAGGAGTTCTTTATATATTGGATACTAATCCTTTTAGGTTATATATGTGAGATATTTTTCTTCCTTTTGTAATTTGGCTTTTTTCTTTCATTATGCTTTCTTTTGCCCAGTAGTTCTTAATTTAAATGTTTTCAGTCAAAGTTGCCCTAAATAGTTATTGCTTTTTGTGTCTTCTTTAAGAAATCCTATCCTATATTTCATATTTAAAAAGACAAACTCCTATATTTTCTTTTAAAAGTTGTAAAATTTTGCTTTTCACATTTAACTTCTTAATCCGTCAGAAATTTATTTTTATGTATGGTATGTGGTAGGCTTCTGATTTCTTCTTTTTTTTATGGGTATGTCATGGACATACTCTTTTTTTTTTTTTTTTTTTTATTAATGTTATGATAGATTACAACCTTGTGAGATTTCAGTTGTACATTTTTGTTAGTCATGTTGTGGGTACACCACTTCCCCCTCCGTACCCTCCCCCCACCCCCCTTTTCCCTGGTAACCACCGATCAGATCTCCTTCTCAATATGCTAATTTCCACCTATGAGTGGAGTCATATAGAGTTCGTCTTTCTCTGACTGACTTATTTCGCTTAACATAATGCCCTCGAGGTCCATCCACATTGTTGTGAATGGGCCAATTTCGTCTTTTTTTATGGCTGAGTAGTATTCCATTGTGTATATATACCACATCTTCTTTATCCAATCATCAGTTTCTGGGCATGTAGGCTGGTTCCACGTCTTGGCTATTGTAAATAATGCTGCGATGAACATAGGGGTGCAACGGACTCTTGAGATATCTGATATCAGGTTCTTAGGATAGATACCCAGTAATGAGATGGCTGGGTCTCATGGGTATTTCTATTTTTAACTTTTTGAGACATCTCCATACTGTTTTCCATAGTGGCTGTACCAGTTTGCATTCCCACCAACAGTGTATGAGGGTTCCTCTTTCTCCACAACCTCTCCAACATTTGTCGTTCTTGGTTTTGGATGTTTTTGCCAATCTAACGGGGGTAAGGTGATATCTTAGTGTAGTTTTGATTTGCATTTCCCTGATGATTAGCGATGATGAACATCTTTTCATGTGTCTATTGGCCATATTCATATCTTCTTTTGAGAAATGTCTGTTCATGTCCTCTGCCCATTTTTTGATCGGGTTGTTTGTTTTTTTGTTGTTAAGCAGTGTGAGTTCTTTGTATATTATGGAGATTAACCCTTTGTCGGATAAGTGGCTTGTAAATATTTTTTCCCAATTAGTGAGCTGTTTTTTTGTTTCAATCCTGTTTTCCCTTGCCTTGAAGAAGCTCTTTAGTCTGATGAAGTCCCATTTGTTTATTCTTTCTATTGTTTCCCTCAACTGAGGAGTTACAGTGTCCGAAAAGATTCTTTTGAAACTGATGTCAAAGAGTGTACTGCCTATATTCTCTTCCAAAAGACTTATTGTCTCAGGCCTAATCTTTAGGTCTTTGATCCATTTTGAGTTTATTTTGGTGTGTGGTGAAAAAGAATGGTCAATTTTCAATCTTTTGCATGTGGCTGTCCAGTTTTCCCAGCACCATTTGTTGAAGAGACTTTCTTTTCTCCATTGTAGGCCCTCTGCTCCTTTGTCGAAGATTAGCTGTCCATAGATGTGTGGTTTTATCTCTGGGCTTTCAATTCTGTTCCATTGATCTGTGGACCTGTTTTTGTACCAGTACCATGCTGTTTTGATCACTGTAGCTTTGTAGTATGTTTTGAAATCGGGGATTGTGATTCCGCCGGCTTTGTTTTTCTTGCTCAGGATTGCTTTAGCAATTCGCGGTCTTTTGTTGCCCCATATGAATTTTAGGATTGTTTGTTCAATTTCTGTGAAGAATGTTCTTGGGATTCTGATTGGGATAGCATTGAATCTGTATATTGCTTTAGGTAGTATGGACATTTTAACTATGTTTATTCTTCCAATCCATGTGCAAGGAATGTTTTTCCATCTCTTTATGTCATCGCCTATTTCTTTCAAGAAAGTCTTGTAGTTTTCATTGTATAGATCCTTCACTTCCTTGGTTAAGTTTATCCCAAGGTATTTTATTCTTTTCGTTGCGATTGTGAATGGGATAGAGTTCTTGAGTTCTTTTTCTGTTAGTTTATTGTTAGTGTATAGAAATGCTACTGATTTATGCACGTTAATTTTATACCCTGCTACTTTGCTGTAGTTGTTGATTATTTCTAATAGTTTTTCTGTGGATTCTTTGGGGTTTTCTATGTATAAGATCATGTCGTCTGCAAACAACGAGAGTTTTACTTCTTCGTTACCTATTTGGATTCCTTTTATTTCTTTTTCCTGCCGAATTGCTCTGGCCAGCACCTCCAGAACTATGTTGAATAGGAGTGGTGAAAGTGGGCACCCTTGTCTTGTTCCTGTCCTCAGAGGGATGGCTTTCAGCTTTTGTCCATTGAGTATGATGTTGGCTGTGGGTCTATCATATATGGCCTTTATTATGTTGAGGTACTTTCCTTCTATACCCATTTTACTGAGGGTTTTTATCATAAATGGGTGTTGGATCTTGTCGAATGCTTTCTCTGCATCTATTGAGATGATCATGTGGTTTTTGGTTTTCATTTTGTTGATGTAGTGTATCACGTTGATTGACTTGCGGATGTTGAACCATCCCTGTGTCCCTGGTATAAATCCCACTTGATCATGGTGTATAATCTTTTTGATGTATTGCTGTAATCGGTTTGCCAAAATTTTGTTGAGGATTTTTGCCTCTATGTTCATCAGTGATATCGGCCTGTAGTTCTCCTTCTTTGTGTTGTCCTTGTCAGGTTTGGGGATCAGAGTGATGTTGGCTTCATAGAATGTGTTAGGGAGTTCTCCATCTTTCTCAATTTTCTGGAACA